GGCCAGGCCTTGTAACAGAGGATAGGCTAAACCCATGTGGTTGATGTGTAGATCAATGATAGGGTCCCACGCCATACAAAGAGAGCCAAGCTAGCYAGCATTAAAAAGGAAGTGAGCCTAAAAGCTTAATGGGCCTAAAGCCCATTTTGAACTGGGTTAATTGGACTAATTAAATAGGGGCGAATCTGGGTATGGATCAATAGATAAGGATAAGAGGATAACTCTTATCCACTTAAAAAGTCCAGATCCAAATAGAGATTTGGATTAGTGAACTCCTAATTTGATTAGGAAAAAGCTAATCTTGATTTGCAGATAAGATAAGGAATTATCCTTATCACTTAAAGAGTTCAGATCCAAATAAAGATATCAAGAAACTCCTAATCAGATTAGGAGATCATGTCTTTGAGGCTATAAATATAGAACAGGGCAGATCTGAAAAACACACAACACAGAAAACAACTCAGTTTGACTGTTTCTGCCTTCAGTTCTTTCTCTCCTTGCTCTTGCCGCCCTACCCTGTTCGATCCCCATTTCTTGGAGCTGATCAAGATTTGATATTGATATTGTTTCTTACTAGAAAAAACAATTTTAAAACTGTGCTCACTACCCCATTCGATTCTTGCTGAAGAATCACAAGTTCTTGGTGAAGAACTACCTGCTGATCCTACCTCATCCTAAGCTGTGTCATCTTTAGTGGAGGGAGGATTTGGTACACTCTTTGGGCATGAACACCTGCRTTGGGAGGAGCAACTTTTGCGTGGATTTCGTATCAGGTATACATTTCCCTAATCTTGGTTTCAGATTTGGTCCGGTTTGGTTACAAGAACGAACCTTGAGAATGCAGTTTTCTAAATTGGGAATACGATTCCCGGATGGGAGTAAAAAAAATTTTGAAATTTTGCCCAACCTTCCTACAGGGTTTGGCCATCCATATGATGGATCTCCCATCCCTTCAGTTTTGAGGTCCAAAACTTCTCCAAGATGATATCTTGCAATGCAAGTCATCAAGCAAAGCATACCCTCAATAGACGAGGCATCAAAATTTATCTTTATCAATCCATATTTCAGAGGGTGCCATGCAATAAGATTCTAGGGCTTTGACGAGTCGACTAACCCCTTATCGTTACAATTAGAGTTCTCTAAAAAAGAATCACTATCCCTTTTTAAAACCATTTCAGGTGGGTTCGAAGAGTTGTTGGAGGTCTTCCTATTTCTATTCTTCCATATAAGCCATAGAATAGAAACACATCATTTGGATCCATAATAGATGGATCCATAAGCTGCCATATTTTTCGAGCCATAGAATATTTCTTGAAAATATGATCTAAATCTTCATCCTCACCACATTTGTCGTTTTACTTATCTAGGGTGATGAGGAAGTGGTTCCATGTTTTTTGAACCCTTGAAGATTTTTGGGAGATTTTCTTCTCCTATATTGTTGCCATTTAGGTTTTGGGCTGTTATTTGCCTCTTAGTAGAGTTTTTGACCCATTTTCTTGGGTTTATTGTGTGTCGGTCACTTGGTTGAGTGTTGGATTTTCTGTCGAGAGATTCATTTGACAAGGTATGGAGTCTTCCTTGGATGTTCAGATGACCTCCAGTGTGCTTCCGGAAATGTGGACTTCTAGTGGTATGATAACTATTATAAAGGTTGATTGGACCAACTTTCTGGGGTGGTCTCAATTTGCCAAGCTGACCATTTGAGGAAGGGTCAGCTAGGTTTCATTACCGAGGAGACTAAGCCTAAACCCAAAGACCTGAAGATTGCTAAATTGGAGCAAGACAATCGCATGGTAATGTCTTGGCTAGTTTGCTCTTTGCAGTCACACATAGCTCATAATTATATGTTCTTATCCATTGCCAAGGACATTTGGGATAGGGTCACTGCTACCTATACCTAAGCTCAAAACAATGCTAGTCTATCAGCTCTGTAGGGAGGCTTGTAGTATGTGTTAGGGCAAAGGACTGTAGCTATGTAGTTTTCCTCTTAACAGTCTTTGGGAAGAAATAGATCATTTGGAGGCCCTGGAATGGAAAGATCTAGAAGATAGTGAGAAGTATAGGAAATACATTTAGAAAAATAGGGTCTTTGATTTCTTTGTGGGTTTGGATCTTGAGTGCATACATTATATCCCTTATAGTTGCTTACTCCCTAGTGCAGGGTGAGGAGAGTAGGAGGGCTGCCATGATGCACCTTCATGGTTGAACGTTTTGCTTTCATGTTTTCAAGGCCCAGGTAGAGCATTAGCAAGCCCAAGGTTAATKAGAAGGTTGATGATGCGATTTGTGAATATTGTAAAAAGCCTAAACATACTAAGGAAAGATATTGGAAACTCAATCCTCATTTGAAACCTGAAAGGTTTAAGACTGGTAAGAAGGGTAAGGCCCACTTGGCTATGGTTGATAATGATGTTTAGCCCTTTGCTATTCCAGCTCTTTCCCATGACTCCTAATGTAATGGATAACAGAGTCTCTTGCTACACCTGGAGAAGAGTGGGACATCTACCTCAATTGGTTCTAATAATTCTTCTGATGCATATGCCGAGATAGGTATTTCTGATTAAAAAAAAAGTGCTAAGCATTGCACTTGGTTGTTTCTCTCCTAACAACATCTGGATTGCTGATTCTGGGGCAACTGCCCACATGATTGGTATGCATCCCTTCATATTTTACTTCATATAACTCAACCCTTGAAGTTGATTCTAGGGCTAGTTTCATTAGAACCTAGGAGTAGCTCCAATAGGTGACAAAATGAGAGTAAACTAAGATGGTTTAGTCACATGCATAGAAGATCACCAACAACTCCATTTAGAACAAGTGGAAGGAGCTAAAAGAGCTAAGGGTAAACCAAAAAGGAATGGGTAGAAATAGTAAGAAATGATTTAAGCACTAATAAATTAACAATGAATATGACTTTATAGAATGGTGGCAAAATAGGATTCATGTAGCCGGCCCCATATAGTTGGGATAAGGCATGGAAGATGATAAGGATGATATGATAAGTTAATCCCTGGGAAAGGCAAGATCGCTGTTGTCCATGGATATCAGACTCCAATTTTTGGTTTGGATGAAGTTAAGCTTGTCCACAACCTTTCCCTTGAATCTATCCTTCATGTACCTCAATTGCATAAAAACTTGTTATCTATTAGTTCCCTTACTAAATCTCATAGTTCTTTTGTGATTTTCTTTTCCACCCATTGTCTTTCAAGACCTGAGCACGGGGAGGATGATTAGAAGTGGATGTAAGGTTGATGGAGCCTACATTTTTTACCAAGTTTTAGAACAAGGGATGTTGTGCCAAATTGAGCCTTGTTCTAGTGAGAAATTGAGTCTTTTGAAATTATGGCATTGTTGTCTTGGACACATGCATTTTTGTTTTATAAAACTTTTGTTTTCAAATTTGTTTAGTTCGGTGTCAAACTTCAGTCCTCAATGTGAAGATTATCATTTGTCAAAGCAATGTTGGTGGTTACAAGTATTTCACTTGATACATATTGATTTTTTTTGGGTTAATTACATATTGATTTTCACTTGATAGAAGAAGTAATGTTGCTTTTCACTTGATACAAATTGATGGATGAGCCATATACTATTCGTCTATTCCTTGCATTGGTGGTTACAAGTATTTCATTCTCTTCATTGATGACTAATATTGGGTATACATAGCTCTACTTGATGAGAAGTCGGGATGAAATTCCTATTATTGTCTAGAATTTCATGGATATGGTAAAAACACAATTTGAGGAGAGGGTTAAAATAATAAGATCTAATAATCAATGTTTTTAAAAGGCGTGGGAGGCAGACACCTAGAGGCATGCTTCCAGGTAAACCTATTCATGGGCCAGGTAGCCTGATGGCCCAGTTCGGCCCAACTCGTTTATTTTTAGGCTTGGACAAAATTTCAGGTCTGTGGGATCGGGCTCGGGCTTTAAATACTAGGCCCAACCATTTTTTGGGTCGGGCTCAGGCTTTCTCAAATAAGCCCGACCCAGGCCCGAGTCCGACCTGATACTATTACATATAATAAAAAAGCATTTATGTTATATATAATAAATAATATATATATAATATTTGTTTCTTAAATTATTAATAAATATTAATTTACTATTAGGAAATACAAATTAGTCTATTAATTTATTAAATTAATATAATATTAGTTTATAAAAGTACACTGAAAATAAGACATTTTGTGTATAGATCGGGCTTCGAGCTTTATATAAGGGCCATTCTCGGGATCAAGATCTAGGCCCGATGGTCGGGTCGGGCTCGGGCTCGGGCTCGGGCCTGCACATTTTATGTTGATAAAGAGGCAAAGCCTGGCCCATGAACAGTATACTTCCAGGTGAGGTGCTCCCAAAATGCCGTGTGATGTATGCCAAAGGTGATGACACCTTTGAGGTGTACGCCTCAAGTGCAAGAGGCATATGCCTCGTATGCTTTTTTCATGAGGCGTGCTAGGGGCATATGCCTCATGCGCCTCATGCACACCTCATGTAAAAAGAGAAAAAAAAAAGAAAAAAAAAGAAAGAAAAAAAAAGGAAAGAAAGGGAAAGGAAAAGAAAGGGAAGGGAAAGAGAATAAGAGAAGAAAAAAAGTGAAAAAGAAAGAAAAGAAAAGGGAAGGGAAGGGAAGGGAAGATAAGGGGAAAGAAAGTGGGCTGAAGCCCCCCAGGCCCTCAGATCCCCCCCTAGAGGTGTGAGGCATAGTTCAGAACTAAGAGGCGTAAGGGGTGTCTTTCCCCTTATCTTTCCATCCTTCCCTTTGCCTTTTCTTTGTGTTCTCTTTTTTCTTTCTCTTTTTTTTTTTTCTTTCCTTTCCCCTTCTTTTTTTTTCTTTTTGTATGAGGTGTGTGAGGGCACTATTGTCACTCTCATCTACACTTTGCAGACAACATTATAATTATATGTGAGACATAGAGATGACCAATTTACCATTTCTTCACTTTTCTGCATGAATTTCTTGGCTAATGTTTTGAACTTTCTCAAATTTGTTGGCTTCAGTCACAAAGCTTGATCTTGAGGAGTCAGAACAAGAGATATCGTCCAGTTTTCTTCAGAAAGGTAAGCCAGTAATTGTATCTACCCCTGCATTTTATTTTCTTAATCCTGATATAAAAATTAAATGTGTTCCTTTGCCCATACTTTTCAAGGAGGACCTAGATAAATCACTAGAAAGAGCTTCTCGCCAGCAAAACCAGTTAAATCCTGCATTCAAGCAAGGAGACATTCAGGTATATCTTTGATGTCTCTAAAGTTCAGTTAGTGTGATGAGGAAAGTCGAAGCTTTTTTTCTGATACTGTCCTGCTCTGTTGTAGGTTGCTGTGCTTGAGGAAATAATCAAAGGGATGAAGGTAAAGGATTCTCATGAAATGGAATCTTTGCATTTCTTCTAAAAATTTACTAATCAACTGACAATTTTGCAGGAGAGTTTGCCTTCAAAGTGGGAGGATGTTGTTTTCATCCCTCCTGGTTTTGATGTTTCAACTGATCTTCCCAAGCAGGAGAAGCTCATTGCAAATGCATAGTCATTAGCATTCTTGAACTACTGTAAGTTTATGTACTCTTCAATTGTCACATAAAGATACTTGCCAAGATACTGGAGGCATGGTGAAAAGAGTCAACCGTGTTTTTTCCTTCTTTTAATTTAATTTATTTTTTTTTTTGTGAAATATAGACATGATTTTGTTCTCCTGAAGTCATGATTGCATGTAGAGGTCGACTAGAAGGGTAAGATTTTCATAAATGTAATGGTTTAACTGATCTACCAACTGCAATCTGTTACACTATGGGGGCATTCTTTTTCTGGATTTTGAGGGGGAAAATTGGTCAATGGGATTTTGATGCCTATTGACCAAGAATTCCATATTCTTTTTTCAGATTTATGTGGGGACCAGGGAAGGTTTATTTTCTAAGGTATCACTTACCCGAGTAAGTGRTACTCTCTTAGGTGGGTAAATAACTTTCCCACCTGGGTATCATAAGATATGACAAAATAATAAACTATTATAGTGGTTAATTAAAGCCATTATTCATATAAAACTGTAGAGGTATTAGCCAATAGCCATACAACGTACTGATATCATAGCATAGCAAAATTATGATACCCAGGTGGGTATCTTATGATACCCAGGTGGGTAAATAACTTTCCCACCTGGGTATCATATAAAACTGGGTATCTTATGATATCCAGGTGGACCACCTGGGTATCATAAGATATGACAAAATAATAAACTATTATAGTGGTTAATTAAAGCCATTATTCATATAAAACTGTAAATTATCCCATGAAG